AGGTTTCGCATTAGCACAATTAAATGTTCTGGGATTCCCATTCTTCTCAGAGTCAGCCACAGTTTGTTATGATCCACACAGTCAAACGCCTTTGCATGGTCAATGAAACACAGATATACATTCCTCTGGTATTCCCTGCTTTCAGCCAAGATCCATCTAACATTAGCTACAATATCCCTAGTACCACGACCCCTTTTAAACCCCGCCTGGACTTCTAGCAGTTCTCTGCTGATGTGCCAGTCGTTTTTGGAAGATCTTCAGTAGAATCTTGCTTGCATGTGAAATTAATGAGTTTGTTCTATAGTTTCCACATTCTGTTGGGTCACCCTTCTTTGGGGTGGCAACAAATATAGATCTCTTCCAGTCAGTTGGCCAAGTGGTTCTTCTCCAGATTTCTTGGCTCAACTTAGTGAGCATGTCCAGGGCAGCATCTGTTAGTACGTAGACAATATTTATGCCTTTTTTAAAAGTATGTGCAAAGAATAAATAGCTCATTGTACAACATTCAATCATACACTCTCTAGTCTCAGTTTGTCAGCAAGACAACTATTTTCCAACTACCAGTCTTCTTTCTTTCTAACTTTTACAACCTAGTTACCAGCTTTTTACTATCTTTTTTCCATGGGAAATACTACACTTTTATTTACTAGAGGGGTTTTGCTGTGTTTTCTTTAACTGATTTGCATACATTCACTCATATGCATTGTGTTTCAAGTACATTGTGGTTTTAAAAAATATAATTCCTATAGATCAGGGTCTTTTATGACACCTTCTGATCAGATCTCCTTTGTTGGTAGGTACTGTCAGTCAGAACTGTCTCAGAGCTGAGCTTCCAGTAGGATTTCAGAAAGTAAATCACACGGGAGGCGAGTGCCCATCTCTCTCCCACAGGGCAGCTAGTGGACTTGAACTATGTTCCTTACTGTCAAGTCAGAACTGACTCACAGCTGAGCCTCCAGCAGGCTTTCAGAGAGAGTGAATCTGCTAGGAACACACACGTACAAATCTCCGCGCCTCAGTTCGGATTTCCTTGGAGTTTGTCCCTAGTA